CACTCACTCACTCACTCACTCACTCACTCACTCTCTCACACACACACACACACACACACACACACACACACACACACACACCTTCTGTCACACATATCATCCTTCTCTCTATTTGTCTGTCCTGTAGTTCTACTCGGGTCACCGCTCTCCTCACATTCCCTTCCGGTTGCTGCATCTGGTCTGGACTCATGCACGACACCTCGCCGGATACGAGCAGCAGGACGCTCACGAGTTCCTCATCGCTGCTCTGGATGTGCTGCACAGACACTGCAAAGGTACTGCAGCCAATCAGACGCCGCTATCCGCAATGTTACAGCCAATCAGAGGACAGCTGTGTTAAACTACGGTTTTTACTCTACGTTCCGTTCAGAGTCAGATCTGGGATTTTCCTGTATGATAGCTCACTAATTGATTGTGCAACATTTACAAGTAGCAACCCAACTGCGTATTACTCAGTCATGTTATGTTGCGATTATTAATAATAATTAATATGTCCTTGTTATAGCACTTGCATATCATTGCTCTTTTGTTGATTTTGATTGCTTCCATTGTCCTCATTTGTAAGTCACTTTGGATAAAAGCGTCTGCTAAATGTCTAAATGTAAATGTAATAACTAGAGGCTAAAGTTTGAGAACAAACTTTGATGTTGACTTGGTAAAGCCAACATGGGCAGCCTTGAGGCAAAATAGCCAGATCACACGTGTGTTCTTGAGCTGACCCCGCCACAAAAAAGTGCAACAGTTATTGTTTTTTTAATATATAGACCCTTGTTATTTTGTATTTTAACAAATAAGCTTATTATGATAAGAAAAGTGTAGATACCACCAATTATATTCCACAATAAGCAAATTGCAAGCAATAGCACAGAAGGGCAGGATTCAGGTTTGTAGGAGTTCAGATGCAGAAATGGAAGAATTAAATGTAAAATAACGTTGCATAGTTTTCATTAAATATATATATTTTTAAAATTAGCCAAGAACAATGAATGATTTTCTCGTTTTTGATGCATTAACATTAAAGACAGACAGTAGCTGGTAAACGCGGTTGCTTTAATGCACAAATCCAATATAACGATCCACATCCGATTTATTACTCAACAGTTTATGTTCTCCTGAGACTCAAACGACGATGATATTCGCCAAGCTATCCTGAATTTTGAAATAATCTTGTATGTATTTATCCGTTCGAGCGCAGAGAGAAGCGAGAGTTCACTATGTCACAGAAAACGGCTCACAAGCACTGAATTGAGCTCTTTTATGTGTTCTTCTGCTTGAATAGTGTAAAATCACTTGAATGTTTTCACTGGCAAGGCTTTAAAATGTGTGCAAATGATAATCTTTCGTGAGGATGCAGCAACTTTGGCTTGATTTCAATGAATCGTGCAGCCCTGATTTCATTATGCTGTAAATGATTTCAAATGTTTCCTGACTTCTTCCAGAAACTTTTTCAGTAACTTCTGTCAAAGCGTAGGGAGATTTTCTGCACGTTATTTCATGAAGATGACCTTCAGCGCTGTGATAGTCTGTCAGCGGTTTCCACATAAGAGCTGTGAAATCGTAGATTCCTCTGAAAAACCTTCCAATGCTGATGTGAGGGCGTCTGAATGCACTGTGCTCACCGGACTCCGGGTCAGAGAGTGTGTGTGTGTGTGTGAGAATCAGACGGACCTCGGTCTTCCTCCTGCAGTGTGAAGCAAAGGGAGGGCTGTTTCTGCTTTCTAATCAGACCTTCTCTCTCTCTCTCTCTCTCTCTCTCTCTGTGTCTGTCTGTGTCTGTCTGTGTGTGTGTGTGTCTCTGTGTGTGTGTGTGTGTGTGTGTCTGTGTGTGTGTGTGTGTGTGTGTGTGTGTGTGTGTGTGTGTCTCTCTGTGTTTGTGTCTCTCTGTGTGTGTGTGTGTCTCTGTCTCTGTGTGTGTGTCTCTGTGTGTGTGTCTCTGTGTGTGTGTCTCTCTGTGTGTGTGTCTCTCTGTGTGTGTGTCTCTCTGTGTGTGTGTCTCTCTGTGTGTGTGTCTCTCTGTGTGTGTGTCTCTCTGTGTGTGTGTCTCTCTGTGTGTGTGTCTCTCTGTGTGTGTGTCTCTCTGTGTGTGTGTCTCTCTGTGTGTGTGTCTCTCTGTGTGTGTGTCTCTCTGTGTGTGTGTCTCTCTGTGTGTGTGTCTCTCTGTGTGTGTGTCTCTCTGTGTGTGTGTCTCTCTGTGTGTGTGTCTCTCTGTGTGTGTGTGTGTCTCTGTCTCTGTGTGTGTGTCTCTGTGTGTGTGTGTGTGTGTGTGTCTGTCTGTCTGTCTGTCTGTGTGTGTGTGTGTCTGTGTGTGCGTTCATATGCTGCTTCCATGTCCACTAAGGAGATGACAATGGGAAAAAAGCCAACAACCCAAACCACTGCAGCTGCATCATTGACCAAATCTTCACGGGAGGCCTGCAGTCTGACGTCACCTGCCAAGTCTGCCAGTAAGAGCTTGTGTTCGCTGTAGAAGAGCCACTCACATTCATCTTCATAAATATTTTTTGAATTTGTATAAGTTTTCTTTTTGCACACAAAGATTAAAAAAAAAAATCTAATTAAATATTTCACACAATGTATATATTAAATTTATTAGAATTTTTATCAGTACTTTTTCCACAAAAAACATTGGGTAAAATGTTTAATTTTATAATAGATAAATAAATATATTTAATATATATATATATATATATATAATTATTATTATTTATTTTTTTTGTATTAAATGAGGTAACTTAGTAGGCAGCATAATTATCCTTTCTAATTTTTGGAACAGCCATCAAATGTGTGTTGCCTTAGAATGCTCCCTACATAGGCAGCTCACCAGGTTTTGGAACAGAGCCAGTGTTGGTGTCCTGTTTTCTGTATGTAACCCAGTTAGAATGCCATTGAACAACCTCAAGTGTTTGAAATGCACAGATCATTCATGCTCCTCAGCGCCACCCTGTGTTTAACAGCGGTATTGCACTCCGCCCATTCAGTTCCTTTCTTTGCTTTTGATTATTCAAGTACCGCTGCATTTATCAAATCAGGTGCTAGAATTGACAAAAAGATAGAAACGTTGCTCTTTTTGCTGATTTTTTGGTGTTTTCTTGTCTGCAGTGGGGTTTCCACGACAATAGACCCATTCTGGGACATCAGCCTGGATCTGCCGGGTTCGTCCACCCCGTTCTGGCCACTCAGCCCAGGCAGCGACGGCAGTGTGGTGAACGGAGACAGTCACCCGAGTGGAGCCACCACACTCACAGACTGCTTACGCAGGTACAGGCGCTCTCGCCCCGCCGCAGGACAATCGAGCCACGGCCGCCACTGACTCGCGCTTCTGCATTGCAGGTTCACTCGACCCGAACACTTAGGAAGCAGCGCCAAGATCAAATGCAGTGGTTGCCATAGTTACCAGGAGTCCACCAAGCAGCTGACTATGAAGAGACTTCCTATCGTGGCGTGTTTCCACCTCAAAGTGAGTGTGTGTGTGTCTGTCTGTGTCTTTGTGTGTCTGTCTGTCTGTCTGTCTGTCTGTCTGTGTTTGTGTGTGTGTGTGTGTGTGTGTGTCTTTGTGTGTGTGAGAGTGTGTGTGCGTGTGAGAGTGTGTGTGCGTGTGAGAGTGTGTGTGCGTGTGAGAGTGTGTGTGCGTGTGAGAGTGTGTGTGCGTGTGAGAGTGTGTGTGCGTGTGAGAGTGTGTGTGCGTGTGAGAGTGTGTGTGCGTGTGAGAGTGTGTGTGCGTGTGAGAGTGTGTGTGCGTGTGAGAGTGTGTGTGCGTGTGAGAGTGTGTGTGCGTGTGAGAGTGTGTGTGCGTGTGAGAGTGTGTGTGCGTGTGAGAGTGTGTGTGCGTGTGAGAGTGTGTGTGCGTGTGAGAGTGTGTGTGCGTGTGAGAGTGTGTGTGCGTGTGAGAGTGTGTGTGCGTGTGAGAGTGTGTGTGCGTGTGAGAGTGTGTGTGCGTGTGAGAGTGTGTGTGCGTGTGAGAGTGTGTGTGCGTGTGAGAGTGTGTGTGCGTGTGAGAGTGTGTGTGCGTGTGAGAGTGTGTGTGCGTGTGAGAGTGTGTGTGCGTGTGTGATTGAGTGTGCGTGTGTGATTGAGTGAGCGTGTGTGATTGAGTGTGTGTGAGTGTGTGTCTGTCTGTGTCTGTGTGTGTGTGTGTGTGTGAGAGAGTGTGTCTGTGTGTCTGTCTGTGTCTTTGTGTGTGTGAGAGTGTGTGTGAGAGTGTGTGTGTGAGAGTGTGTGTGCGTGTGAGAGTGTGTGTGCGTGTGTGATTGAGTGTGCGTGTGTGATTGAGTGTGCGTGTGTGATTGAGTGAGCGTGTGTGATTGAGTGAGCGTGTGTGATTGAGTGAGCGTGTGTGATTGAGTGTGTGTGTGAGTGTGTGTCTGTCTGTGTCTTTGTGTGTGAGTGTGAGAGAGAGTGTGAGTGTGAGAGAGAGAGTGTGTGTGAGAGAGAGAGAGTGTGTGTGAGAGAGAGAGAGTGTGTGTGAGAGAGAGAGAGTGTGTGTGAGAGAGAGAGAGTGTGTGTGAGAGAGAGAGAGTGTGTGTGAGAGAGAGAGAGTGTGTGTGAGAGAGAGAGAGTGTGTGTGAGAGAGAGAGAGTGTGTGTGAGAGAGAGAGAGTGTGTGTGAGAGAGAGAGAGTGTGTGTGAGAGAGAGAGAGTGTGTGTGAGAGAGAGAGAGTGTGTGTGAGAGAGAGAGAGTGTGTGTGAGAGAGAGAGAGTGTGTGTGAGAGAGAGAGAGTGTGTGTGAGAGAGAGAGAGTGTGTGTGAGAGAGAGAGAGTGTGTGTGAGAGAGAGAGAGTGTGTGTGAGAGAGAGAGAGTGTGTGTGAGAGAGAGAGAGTGTGTGTGAGAGAGAGAGAGTGTGTGTGAGAGAGAGAGAGTGTGTGTGAGAGAGAGAGAGTGTGTGTGAGAGAGAGAGAGTGTGTGTGAGAGAGAGAGAGTGTGTGTGAGAGAGAGAGAGTGTGTGTGAGAGAGAGAGAGTGTGTGTGAGAGAGAGAGAGTGTGTGTGAGAGAGAGAGAGTGTGTGTGAGAGAGAGAGAGTGTGTGTGAGAGAGAGAGAGTGTGTGTGAGAGAGAGAGAGTGTGTGTGAGAGAGAGAGAGTGTGTGTGAGAGAGAGAGAGTGTGTGTGAGAGAGAGAGAGTGTGTGTGAGAGAGAGAGAGTGTGTGTGAGAGAGAGAGAGTGTGTGTGAGAGAGAGAGAGTGTGTGTGAGAGAGAGAGAGTGTGTGTGAGAGAGAGAGAGTGTGTGTGAGAGAGAGAGAGTGTGTGTGAGAGAGAGAGAGTGTGTGTGAGAGAGAGAGAGTGTGTGTGAGAGAGAGAGAGTGTGTGTGAGAGAGAGAGAGTGTGTGTGAGAGAGAGAGAGTGTGTGTGAGAGAGAGAGAGTGTGTGTGAGAGAGAGAGAGTGTGTGTGAGAGAGAGAGAGTGTGTGTGAGAGAGAGAGAGTGTGTGTGAGAGAGAGAGAGTGTGTGTGAGAGAGAGAGAGTGTGTGTGAGAGAGAGAGAGTGTGTGTGAGAGAGAGAGAGTGTGTGTGAGAGAGAGAGAGTGTGTGTGAGAGAGAGAGAGTGTGTGTGAGAGAGAGAGAGTGTGTGTGAGAGAGAGAGAGTGTGTGTGAGAGAGAGAGAGTGTGTGTGAGAGAGAGAGAGTGTGTGTGAGAGAGAGAGAGTGTGTGTGAGAGAGAGAGAGTGTGTGTGAGAGAGAGAGAGTGTGTGTGAGAGAGAGAGAGTGTGTGTGAGAGAGAGAGAGTGTGTGTGAGAGAGAGAGAGTGTGTGTGAGAGAGAGAGAGTGTGTGTGAGAGAGAGAGAGTGTGTGTGAGAGAGAGAGAGTGTGTGTGAGAGAGAGAGAGTGTGTGTGAGAGAGAGAGAGTGTGTGTGAGAGAGAGAGAGTGTGTGTGAGAGAGAGAGAGTGTGTGTGAGAGAGAGAGAGTGTGTGTGAGAGAGAGAGAGTGTGTGTGAGAGAGAGAGAGTGTGTGTGAGAGAGAGAGAGTGTGTGTGAGAGAGAGAGAGTGTGTGTGAGAGAGAGAGAGTGTGTGTGAGAGAGAGAGAGTGTGTGTGAGAGAGAGAGAGTGTGTGTGAGAGAGAGAGAGTGTGTGTGAGAGAGAGAGAGTGTGTGTGAGAGAGAGAGAGTGTGTGTGAGAGAGAGAGAGTGTGTGTGAGAGAGAGAGAGTGTGTGTGAGAGAGAGAGAGTGTGTGTGAGAGAGAGAGAGTGTGTGTGAGAGAGAGAGAGTGTGTGTGAGAGAGAGAGAGTGTGTGTGAGAGAGAGAGAGTGTGTGTGAGAGAGAGAGAGTGTGTGTGAGAGAGAGAGAGTGTGTGTGAGAGAGAGAGAGTGTGTGTGAGAGAGAGAGAGTGTGTGTGAGAGAGAGAGAGTGTGTGTGAGAGAGAGAGAGTGTGTGTGAGAGAGAGAGAGTGTGTGTGAGAGAGAGAGAGTGTGTGTGAGAGAGAGAGAGTGTGTGTGAGAGAGAGAGAGTGTGTGTGAGAGAGAGAGAGTGTGTGTGAGAGAGAGAGAGTGTGTGTGAGAGAGAGAGAGTGTGTGTGAGAGAGAGAGAGTGTGTGTGAGAGAGAGAGAGTGTGTGTGAGAGAGAGAGAGTGTGTGTGAGAGAGAGAGAGTGTGTGTGAGAGAGAGAGAGTGTGTGTGAGAGAGAGAGAGTGTGTGTGAGAGAGAGAGAGTGTGTGTGAGAGAGAGAGAGTGTGTGTGAGAGAGAGAGAGTGTGTGTGAGAGAGAGAGAGTGTGTGTGAGAGAGAGAGAGTGTGTGTGAGAGAGAGAGAGTGTGTGTGAGAGAGAGAGAGTGTGTGTGAGAGAGAGAGAGTGTGTGTGAGAGAGAGAGAGTGTGTGTGAGAGAGAGAGAGTGTGTGTGAGAGAGAGAGAGTGTGTGTGAGAGAGAGAGAGTGTGTGTGAGAGAGAGAGAGTGTGTGTGAGAGAGAGAGAGTGTGTGTGAGAGAGAGAGAGTGTGTGTGAGAGAGAGAGAGTGTGTGTGTGTGTGTGAGAGTGTGCGTGTGTGTGTGTGAGAGTGTGCGTGTGTGTGTGAGTGAGAGTGTGCGTGTGTGTGTGAGTGAGAGAGAGTGTCTGTGTGTGAGAGAGAGAGTGTGTGTGTGAGAGAGAGTGTGTGTGAGAGAGAGTGTCTGTGTGTGTGTGTGTGTGTGTGTGTGTGTGAGAGAGAGAGTGTCTGTGTGTGTGTGTGTGTGTGGGGAGAGTGTCTGTGTGTGTGTGTGTGTGTGTGTGTGAGAGAGAGAGTGTCTGTGTGTGTGTGTGTGTGAATGCATGGACTGGGGTCTGTTTTGTTGTATATCAAAGTGCACTGATTCACTAAAGTAGGGATACATGATACATCTGTATTATTGATCATTTAAGTTCTTGCTTGTATAATTTTATGATAATTATTTTCAGATACTGAGCAATATCGTATGTATTTATAATTGTGCATGCTTATTTCTCCTATTTTTATGTTTTCCTGTGTTTAGATTACTTTCAATGCTTGTTAAACTTGCTAATAATTTAATACCACTGTTAAATGGAATTTTATCAAATATAAAAAGGAATACTCATTTTCATAATGTACATTATAACGCTTTAATGCCAGAATTCACTGTTAATATTATCATATTATTTTCACAAATTTCATTACAGAAATGAATGATGATAGTGATTATAAATATTATAACTATTATTAAAATATTAATAATATTAAGTGATAAATATGTAAAAATACTGAAATTCTACACTACTATTACAAATAAAGATTCCAGAATTCACTTTTCACACATTTCATTTATTATTATTGTATTAATATCTTATTATTTTTTACACACGCACTAGTTTTAGAATTTTTATATTTCTGTACATTATTTAATTAACATTTAATATTCAATTACAATGATATACTACTGTGTACTATTTAAAACAAAATTACACGGTTCCAGAATTTACTTTTAACAAGTTTCCTTTACGTTGTTATTATTTTGATTATCTCTGCTACTATTACTGATACTACTGTAATAACGTATACTTTTTAGTTTTATCCAGACTAGTATATAATGTTACTATTTCAGTACACTGGTCATTCAATACTTTTTAAGAATAGCATTTATATTGTGCATGTATTGGTATTGGCCATCTTGATTATCAGGCATTTAGACAGTGTTTTTATGTTGGTGCATCTGTACTTTGCAGCCTCACAGTCTGATCTGTCAAACATTGAATATAGCTTCAAAACAAATGGACTCAGCACTCTTTGTCTTCTCAGTCAGCTGCTTGATTGTCTGATGAAGTGTTGATCAGTAGCGCTGTGCTCTTCATTCTGATTGCTCTGGTTTCTCATGCAGCGGTTCGAGCATTCGGCGAAGCTCCGGCGGAAGATCACCACCTACGTGTCCTTCCCTCTAGAGCTGGACATGACGCCCTTCATGGCCTCCAGGTACGAGCGCGCAGCATTCAGTGTCGTTCCAGAAAAGACTAGGGTTGGGTATCGTTTGGGGTTCTTCCGATACCGGTGCCAAATCGATACTTTATTAAAAAAATTAATAAATAAAAATTTCCCAAAAAATGATGAATTGGCCATTAGCACTAGGCCTGGGCGATTAAACGGTATCGGTATTTATCGACGGTACACCTTATTCGATATCGATAGAAAAAATGTTCGATATAGTGCATGTGCTATGAGTGACGCAGACTGCACACACGAACACGTGCTGTGTCGGCCTGTGATGAGGAGATTGTGAATAAAAGATGAATATTAGTCTAATTTAAAATAAACATTTGCCTTTGAATGTTAGGTGTGCATCAGTCATCAGTGTCGCGTGAGATGCTGTGATGATGATGTAAGTGACGTTGTAGTTTAATGTTTTGTTAGTCTAGTCCACGAGACGCGCCGCTGCTGCGTTATTCTTTCAAAATATTAGAGAAGTATAGAAGCTCGATGCGGAGAAGATCTTGATCAGGTGAAAACCGAAACCAAGCCATTCACACGGAACGCATATTCAGCGCATTTTTTAGACGGACAAATACAACTGCTGCACTCGCGTCTCACGCGAGAGATGTATAGAAAGCCATGCACAGTTAAAACAGTTTAAACTTTTAGAAAACAGGTCACGAATTTGTGGAGGTTTATTCCTTTTCACTGCGTCTCATATTTTAAATGCAGTCTGTGTGAATAGCGCTTCGGCTCTTTGGATTAAGCAATGCATAAATACATGATGCTGTTTTGTTCATAATTGTTTATGCAATTTATGAAATTATATTTGATTTATATGAGTTAATTTAGACGTAATGCACGTTTTTATAGAGTTACTTCCTTGCGTTGACCATTTAAATGCGCTGCATTATTTTGCTCAATGCGCCCTCCTGTGGCTTCGGGAGACAATTAGACCTATTTAATCTGCATATAAAACATTATATCGTTTATAAAAAATTTAGCTATATCGCCCAGCCCTAATTAGCACTATAAATGCATGATGTCTGTTTCATTCATACTGGACGCCAGAGGGCGCCCTCGCAGAGAAAATCTACAAATCCAGTCTCAGAAGTAGACAAAAATTATCCTCCGGGAAATCACTTATATGGACAAAGGCATGGCTATTATAGCTGTAAGTTAACAGAACATATAAACGTTTTGAATGATAAAACAAAGACAATAAACACTCACAGACTGCGACAATATAATTTATCTGTTTTATTCAAGCCATCGTGCGGTGCCGGTGATGATGATGCTTTTTACGTCCGTTTCGGAGAACCTGAGGACAGATATTTCAATCGATCGCTCCGGCATGGTGCTGAAATCTGCGTTCTGGTTCGGTTCTAGTACATACGGGTTACATAGGTCATATTGGTGCCGGGTTTCGGTACCCAACCCTAGTAAAGACAGTGAGTTCATGTCCTGACGTCTGCTCTGTTTCTCTCTCAGTAAAGAGAGCCGGATGAACGGACAGTACCAGCAGCCTGTAGACTCTCTAAACAATGACAACAAGTGAGTGAAGGTCTGCTGTGTTCAGTGTGTGTGAGTGATTCGTCCCGTGACGCGTCTCTCTGTGTGTGTGTGTGTGTGTGTGTGTGTGTCCGCTGCTGCAGGTATTCTCTGTTCGCGGTGGTCAATCATCAGGGCACGCTGGAGAGCGGCCACTACACCACCTTCATCCGCCAGCACAAGGACCAGTGGTTTAAATGCGATGATGCCATTATCACTAAAGCCAGCATTAAAGATGTTCTGGACAGCGAGGGGTCTGTCGCACACATACTGCAAACATGCATCAGCGTTTGAGCCACACTTGAGTTTCACTGCATTACAAACAAAAGATCAAATCAGAAACATTTGCACACACACAAAAAATATATATTATTATTAAAAAGGAATGTTACAAATATTGAAATTCTGTAATACTTAGTTCTGTGTATAAACAAAATTACACAAAGTTTTAATGCCAGAATTCAATTTTCATAAAATTCTTTAATATTTTTGTTTAGTATAGAATTAATACTTGTGTATATATATTGCTCAGTAAATATAATAATAATTATAAATAATTGTAATTATATTAAATTAAAAATATTTAATATAAAAAGTATATACTACTGTATACTGTTTAAAACTAAATTACACACTGTAATTAGTTTTGATAAATATATGATGCTAGAGCTTTTTCTTAAAACTTACTGCACTAGAATTACCTATTTTTATTTATTGTAAAATCTTTTTTTTTTTAATTGAATTCAGTGGCATTCAGAATTTACTTTATATTATCAGGTAAATAATATAATGTTGATATCATATAATACAAGTTTAATATAATTTACTGACTTGAGTGCCCAAATAAATTTTATTAATAAAAAAATAGTAATAATAAAAAATTAATTGAAATACATTATTTAAAAACTTTACACTTATTTTATTGTAGCTAGTTACCAATGCAACATTTCTATTTTTTTCTTTTTACTTGAAGTGCTAAAATTGAACTAAAACTGGAATAAAAATTTGTAAAATCTAAATTGACTATATATATATATATATATATATATATATATATATATATATATATATATATATATATATATATATATATATATATATATATATATATATATATATATATATATATATATATATATATATATATAATCATATAGTAACTAAAATTTAATTAAATTAAAAAACAAAAAATATAAAAGTGAAAATTTATTCCAAATATTAATAATAATAGTAACTATAAAAGTACCTAAAAATATTAAAATAACGCTGCTCTGTAAAATTGTAAATTATTTATTTATTTGTTATTGTTATTTATTTAATTTATTTTATTACTAATAATAAAAAAATATATAAAATAATTGAAATAAATTATTTTAAAAATGTGAACTTATTTTATTTCAGCTAGTTACCAAAGCAACATTTCTATTTTTTTAAAGTACTCAAATAAACTAAAACTGGAATAAAAATTTATAAAATCTAAATTGACTTTATATAACCATATAGTAACTAAAATTACATTAAATTAAAAAAAGTAAAAATTAATTCCTAATAATAATATTATTAAAAAATATATATATATATATTATTTTTTTTATTTATTTTTTATTATTATTTATTTATTTATTTATTTTTACTGTGGTTTCTAAAAAAAAAAATGTCTAAATGTATTTTCCCTTTTTGCAGGTACTTGTTATTTTACCATAAACAGTTCCTTGAATATGAATAATGGAGATGCAGGAGCAGCCGAGTCAAAGCTGTGAAGGGAGGATCGTATGAGTGAAGCCTGACAAGAGCGTTACCACATACACATGCAGCCTTTCTCACTACAGAAAAGCGAAAGAACAGCATACAATTTAAAAAAAAGAAAAAAATGACAGCTAAACCAATCTGCACTGAGCAACCGGAGCGTACTTGACAGAAAGAGGAGGAGATGGAGTTCTCACTACATCTCAGCATTTCACTTTCAGTCGCCTTTTCTTCAAGAACGAATCGGAAACATTCGCTCGCATTTTCTCATCCTCCTCCAATGATTTTCCGAGAAGTATATGAGGGAAAAATATTCCTTTTTTATTTCTTCGTATGCATTATTGATGTACTTGAATGCAAAAGAAAGGTGTTATTGACTTCAGCGTAAACCTATATTGTCGTTCGTCGCTTGAGTTTGGAAATACTGAAATCCTCATCCAGCACTTTTGATTTGTGTTTTAGTTTTTTTTCATTCACAGCACATCTCTGCCCTCGTTTTTGTCGTCTTTTTCTTTGGGCTGGAAATGTCACCCACGCAGATATATATATATATATAAATCTATTTTTATAAGTCATTGTTTCAGTTTATGTGTCCTATACCCTCATCTTTTCTCTCTTCACGTGGTTCGATATGAGCGGGAAGAAGGTGTTTCTGCTTCGTCGCATCTTTAATCTTTCGTTGGACTCTTTCAGTTGCTGGTTTGGTCGTGAAGGCTTGTCATGTTTCAGATGCATTGTGAATGAAGACGTTTTCCTTTCATGGCTTGATTTTCAGCAGTGTTATCCTCAGCCGTGTGTGTGTGAGTACATGTATGCATAGCCGTGTACACACGTGTGCTATATGAGTGTGTGTGTGTGTGTGTGTGTGTGTGTGAGTGAGCGCGTGTGTGCGTGTGTGTGTACGCGTGTGCTACCCACGCAGATATATATATATATATAAATCTATTTTTATAAGTCATTGTTTCAGTTTGTGTGTCCTATACCCTCATCTTTTCTCTCTTCACGTGGTTCGATATGAGCGGGAAGAAGGTGTTTCTGCTTCGTCGCATCTTTAATCTTTCGTTGGACTCTTTCAGTTGCCGGTTTGGTCGTGAAGGCTTGTCATATTTCAGATGCATTGTGAATGAAGACGTTTTCCTTTCATGGCTTGATTCAGCAGTGTTATCCTCAGCCGTGTGTGTGTGAGTACATGTATGCATAGCCGTGTACACACGTGTGCTATATGAGTGTGTGTGTGTGTGTGTGTGTGTGTGTGAGTGAGCGCATCTATGCATATCTGTGTACACGTGTGCTATCTGAGTGTGTGTGTGTGTGTGTGAGTACGTGTATGCATATCTGTGTACACGTGTGCTATCTGAGTGTGTGTGTGTGTGTGTGTGTATGCATATCTGTGTACACGTGTGCTATCTGAGTGTGTGTGTGTGTGTGTGTGAGTGAGTACATGTATGCATATCTGTGTACACGTGTGCTATCTGAGTGTGTGTGTGTGTGTGTGTGTGGAGTTCTCACTACATCTCAGCATTTCACTTTCAGTCGCCTTTTCTTCAAGAACGAATCGGAAACATTCGCTCGCATTTTCTCATCCTCCTCCAATGATTTTCCGAGAAGTATATGAGGGAAAAATATTCCTTTTTTATTTCTTCGTATGCATTATTGATGTACTTGAATGCAAAAGAAAGGTGTTATTGACTTCAGCGTAAACCTATATTGTCGTTCGTCGCTTGAGTTTGGAAATACTGAAATCCTCATCCAGCACTTTTGATTTGTGTTTTAGTTTTTTTTCATTCACAGCACATCTCTGCCCTCGTTTTTGTCGTCTTTTTCTTTGGGCTGGAAATGTCACCCACGCAGATATATATATATATAAATCTATTTTTATAAGTCATTGTTTCAGTTTATGTGTCCTATACCCTCATCTTTTCTCTCTTCACGTGGTTCGATATGAGCGGGAAGAAGGTGTTTCTGCTTCGTCGCATCTTTAATCTTTCGTTGGACTCTTTCAGTTGCTGGTTTGGTCGTGAAGGCTTGTCATGTTTCAGATGCATTGTGAATGAAGACGTTTTCCTTTCATGGCTTGATTCAGCAGTGTTATCCTCAGCCGTGTGTGTGTGAGTACATGTATGCATAGCCGTGTACACACGTGTGCTATATGAGTGTGTGTGTGTGTGTGTGTGTGTGTGTGAGTGAGCGCATCTATGCATATCTGTGTACACGTGTGCTATCTGAGTGTGTGTGTGTGTGTGTGTGTGTGAGTACATGTATGCATAGCCGTGTACACGTGTGCACTATCGGAGTGAGTGTGTGTGAGCGCATGTATGCATATCCGTGTACACGTGTGCTATCTGAGTGAGTGTGTGTGTGCGCGCATGCAGGTATGTGGGCACCTGTGTGTGTGTGTGCATATCCGTGTACACAAATGTGTGCTATCTAAGTGAGTGAGTGAGTGTGTTGTGTGTGCGCATGCAGGTATGTGGGCACCTGTACATATGTGTGCTATCTTGGGTCTGTGTGTGTGTGTGTGTGAGTGAGCGCACGTGTGTGTGCTTATCCGTGTACATATATGTGTGCTGTGTGTGTGCGCGTGCATGCAGGTATGTGGGCACCTGTGTGTGTGTGTGTGTGAGCGCATGTATGCATATCTGTGTATACGTGTGTGTGTGTGTGTGAGTGAGTGAGTGAGCGCACGTGTGTGTGCTTATCCGTGTACATATATGTGTGCTGTGTGTGTGCGCGTGCATGCAGGTATGTGGGCACCTGTGTGTGTGTGTGTGAGCGCATGTATGCATATCTGTGTATACGTGCGTGTGTGTGTGTGTGTGTGAGCG